ACTGCCTTCATCGAAAGCTTATCTTAGCACTAGCTTGGAACTGGAAGGCATAAGCTCTTCATGTTTCACATTTCCAATCTTCAGAGTTTCATCAGCTCGATTTCATTGATTGTTGATTGCTGCGCTTAAGTTGCTCAAGTTTCTCTATCTAATCGATGACAAATAGAACTCAAATTGCTTGGCTAATAATTGAAATCAGTCTGCTGCAGCCTGAGGTTGATTGTGAGCAGGATGCGAATGAAATGTTATTCAACAACTTTGAGGCAGCTAAAACTTGATTTGCTTTCAAATTATTATTATGTAGAATAGGACTTCAACAAGTTGAATTTCTAGTTTTTTTTATCTATATTATATCTAGTTATTATTCTAGTTATTTTAACTAGATATCTAGATATATGCTTCTACAGCTTCTCCACCTTTCAGACTCCACACCTTCAGCTCTTTCTGTTTCCTTGAAATCCAAATGAACTGATTGATTGACCAATGATTGCTGTGTAACGTCAATTGATATGTATTTAGCTTTCAATTTATTGAGTTCAGTCGCAGCTGGGACCTCAGCTAAAGTTGAGAGCAGATTTAAATGGTTTGATTGACTTGATTATTTAATTGCCGCCGGCCACAAATAACCAACAGACTAACAAGCCAAACAGGAAAGGAACTAAAAAAAATAAAAACATATAGATTAAGCAGAGTGGAGGAGCTGCAGAGTTCCCTGGACATTGATTGAAAATCAATAATTGCGCGTGTTTTTCTCCGGAATGAAATTGAGGAACAAGTAAAAGCCAGCTAATTGGCATTGAAAGTCGTCTGTCTGTCTGTCTGTCTGTCCCAGCTGTCCGACTGTCTGTCAACTATGGCCAGCAACATTTTAATTGTTTTTAGCTATAAATATATATATATATATATATATATATACTTGGCTGGCATTAATCAGACCAAAATGTGGGCAATGGCCAAAAAGCAGGCTTCCTGTGGCAAACGCAAAAGCAATCGCAATCGCAATCGCAATCAAAAGGCCATTGAGAAATGCCACGAAATTGAATTAGATTTGCATAGGAAAACAGGCAAAAAGAGACCAAAACGACAACGACAACTGAGACAAGGAGACAGAGACCAGGACGACGACGTTGCTGGCTGTTAATAAATATTAAAATTTGAATTATACTTGGCAAACCAATGAGAGTTTTATGATAAAAACAACTTGGAGTGCACTAGTAGTGGGCATGAGCGACCAGCAGATGCCCTGTAAACTAAGACGTACCTTTTAGTAAATTAAGTTTTTCGATTTTAAGCTACTTTTGCTAAAGGCAAGCTTAGAACTGAGGAAAAACAGCCAGATAGGGAATGCACGACTAGGTAATACCCTGAGACACGTGTGCGCGTGTTTAATAAGCCAATAATAGCAGAATGCTGAAAGTCCCAGAGACCCTAAGAGATAGCCTGAAACCCAGGCCGCCAAACTTCAAGTTTGTTTACTGAAAATAGGAGATTCTGGAAAAGGTATCTAAGAATCTAATGAACAAGTTGATATTTGTATTTATAGTTAAGAAAAATCTATAGCAAATATATTTAGACAGATCTCTACTCGAGTGTTCAGTCAAATGAACAATATAAATCTACATTATGAGCACGACCAAGCCTCGTTCTCATCGATGCCAATATGCCCAGCTTCAATCTCTTTGGGTATTCACAAGAAATAAAAAGGCCATCTCAGACGGCGCATTTTGTGGTCATGCCGGGGAGGCTTCACTGTAGGTGTGGTCGCACTTTTTGGCAACGTTTCAAAACGTCGGCCTCTGATTTCACACAAAAGCCAAAAGCCAAAATGAAAAAAAAAATAATACAAAAAAAAAATATAAGAAAAATAAAGAAAATAAAGAAAATTTGTAATGAAAATGCAAAAAGTGACGACGAATTGAAAGTTTTGCCCGTTTTCTTTTGGTTTCTCTTCTTTTTTTTTTTGTCGGCACAATTACCAAAGCCATTTTCGTTGATTTGTAACACGTTGCAGGCTGATGATGGCGCTGTTGAATGATAATCATGGTGCTGACGATGCTGATGATGATGATGGTTTGAAAAGTAGAACTTGAGTGGCCCCCAAGATGTGGCGCAATTGTCACACAAACACTTTGCATGCACAATCAGAGCCGCGAACGAAGAAGCACGCAGAAGAAGAAGAGAAAAGAATGAAACACTGCCCCCACTCCCGCGCACCTCCTACTGCTGCTGCTCCTTCAACGTTCGAGTGGCAGCCCTTAGTATTCGAAATTCCAACAATTCGCCCCGCGCACAACTTGAGCAACAGTAGTAATAAAAGTATATGGGGAAACTTGTAGCTCGGCAGCTGCAGCAGCTGCTCAACATTTCAATATGCAATATTCAGTTAAATATTTAAGCAAACGAATAGTTAAAATTCACAATTCGCAATTTGCGTAACGCATATTTCCGAATTTCCGAATTTCCAATGGAAACGCCTGCAGCATAAATTAAAGTTATGCGATTTTCCCTCTTCACAGACAATGGCCGAGCCCTGGGCAAAGGGACTGGGATTGCCTACAGGAATGGCTGACAGCAAGCTGACTGCTATATGTGTTGACATTTGATAGTAGCGCAGTCTGGCAACGCCCGGCCAAATAAAGCCTGCGCTCAAAACTATGCTACACTTTTTGTGTTTCTTTCTTTGCCTCGTTTTGTAAGTTATAATGGGGACTATTTATAAGAGAACGTATGTGATGCATCGATTGGTGGCTTTGTCATTTGATTTGTATGAATTTAATCTGCGCATTGTTACATTGCCTCAAGATGGCTTAGAAAGTGGAGCAACAAAATGAGCACAAACTGAACACTGCCCCAAGCTGATCTATCTAATCTGGCTTATAATATATATATAAATATATGACAAATAACATATGGAGACAGAGAGTTGATGACAATAGAAAACAATAAGCCAAGAGAGTTATTCTAAGTCTAATCAAACAAATTCTTGGTTAGAATTTCAGTAAGAACTTTACAAAGAGTTGGATTAAATAGAATGTCTTTGAAAGCTGAACTTTAATAGAGAACTAGAGACTCTCTGGCATAGCTTAATTTTCAACACTTTGCACAGGGATTTCGAGAAGTCTTTCAGCTATTAAAAACAGACTTAAGCTTCAGTAAGACCTTATTTATAATCTAATTTATTAGCTATATAAATTCTCAGAAAAAACCTTATCTCCCAGCTAATGTAAACTCACTGTAAACTCACTGCAAAGGCGCTGTAGACTCACTGTAAACTCAATGCAAATCAATATCTACTCGTACATATATCATTTATGTTGGAAAAAAACAAAATATCAAGCAAATAGTGCACAATTCTTTGTATTCAATGGCAACAAAGGCAAAAAGCCGTTTCTTGTCCATTGTCGTAGCTGCTTAAGCAGTTTCTTTTCAGCGAAATTCTGGGTTGTCGTGTCATGCGCGTGACCTCCACATTCATAGTCACATTCACAGTCGCATTGGCAGTCGCATTCGCATTCACATTTACTGCCATCCATTTGATATCATATAATAATAACGCTGTACATGTGTCCAATATGGCAGGAATACTGCATTTGCTACACTCTCTGGGCGCGGGTGTGTGTGTAAAGCCACGTGCAAGGTCGCCATCAGAGCGATTTCAATAAGATATTACACATTTAATTGCGCATTCGAGTGAAGTCAGCAATGTCACAAACAATATCAATATCAATATACATATACACTGCGCAAAAGAGGGCAGTCCTTGCGTAGCTATGCGCTGCGCGCCTTAAACTACTCCCTTTGCCTTGGGTCTGTATATAACTTTAGCTCAACAGAAACTTGATAGAGTTGAGCAAGCTTGAAGGTATTTTTTCTGGCAGTGTATTGACATCTTAAGTTACTTTGCAGCCAGTGTATAGGCATCTTTTTATTTAAACTGCCTACTTTTTTTTATAAAAGCTGAGCCAGCAGCGAAAATGCCAGGTGAGAAGTGGAATAACTCACTGGAAACTTAATCACTCAGACTAATTTTGATGCCAAATCAAAATCAATCAATTTACTATAATTATATACTAAATATAATCGACTTTTTCATATAACAAAAGTTTTGAACTCTTTGAAAATTGTCTAGGCAAATATCGCTATGCATCTATTAGAGATAGCCTCGAAACGGCTTTACTCTAATAAATTAATGTAATCCAAAAAGTTTTTTTTTTTGATATTTGCAACAAATTTATTGTGAGTTTTGATTACTCGTCTAATATTCAAAAGAATTTCTTGGAATGAATCCATTTTCAGCGCTGCATAGCAAGGCATTGCCTACTTTTCAGCTGTTTGCCTTGCAAGTGTACATTGGAGGTTCTAATCCTATACCTATTTAACCGTTCCTATTCACTCATATCTTAAGTGCTATTCCTCTGCCTTAGCTACTACGAATTTTATGCACATCTTAAGTTCTATGCTTACCTATTCGTATTCCTATTCGTATTCTTGTTTCATTCGTATCTTAAATTTTGATTCTAACTATTCCCATTGGTTTTCCCTTTCTTCATTAATTTTGAGCTTTCCCTCTTTGTTATCCTATTTCTTAATCTTTTCTGTTTCAAATTCCTATCTTAAGTTATTCTTATTTTTTTCTATTTTTTTGGATATTGTTTCCCTTCTTATCCTAAGTTCTACTTGTCTTCGTCTTGCCTTCGCTTACAAACTTCTTTTTTCATAGGTGTCTTAAATTACATTTCGTATTCTTAACTTTGACTAATTATATTGTATTCCTTTTTCTATTTATATTTCTTTTTCAATTGTCATTCCCGTTTTTCTTTTTACTATTCTTTCCCTTCACTCAGGTCTATCTTTTTTATACATTTTCATTAATTTTCCTTTTTTTTTATTTTTATATATATCAAATATTTAAATTCTATTCCCATTCCCTACTCTTATTTATCTCCTCCTCCACTCAAATCTTCTCGCATTTCATTTTCTGTTTAAGCTCTGCAACTCACCTGCAAATCGGTGCCGGTTGTGCCCGGCTGTGCCAGATCACAAGCTGATATCCAAGGGTTAAGGCGTGTTAGAGCTGTTGCAGAGCCGAGTATGGACTTTCGTGGATCTGCAGGCGTTACGCTCGCCGAGCTGTCACCAGTTGCTGCACTCGTTGTTGTTGCTGTTGCGGTTCCTAGATTCGTGCCGCCGTCCCTTTGGCCGAATGCGATTAGATGCGACGCATAGGCGTCGTTGGCTCGAGTCTCCTGTTCTTCACCTGTTTCTCGCTTGTTGTTGTTGCTGTTGTAGCTCTCCCTCTCTTTCTGCTTCTTGTTCTCGTTCTCGTTGTGTTGCGCATGCAGCACGCTCTCATCGACCAAACGACTTTCGTCCTGCTGCTCCGTTTCCCGTTCTCGTTCCCGTTCTCGTTCTCGTTCCCGTTCCCGTTCCCGTTTCCGTTCCTGTTCCCGTACCCGCGCCTGTTCCTGCTCCTGTTGTTGCTGACTTAACGCTTGATTGTAGTCCTCCTCTTCGGTGGCTGCGTCCTCGCTCAGCTTTATTAGACGATCGAACGATTCCTCCGAAAACAGATCGTCCTCGGCGACCAGCGCAAAGATGTCCTCGTCCGCCTCCTCGTCAAAAGCACGCGATGAAGCGTATTGCACTGGCAGTCCACTACTATCCTCCTGCTCCTCGTCCTGCTCCTGCTCCTGCTCTTGCTCCCGCCCGTCGTCTCTCTCGCTGATGAGCGTTGCCTCACTGGACTCGGGCGCCCCCGCCGCCGTCGCCGTCGATTCTGTGCCTCTGCCCCTTTCGAGACTGCGAGCGCGCCGCAGCGTTTCGTCTGGCGGATGCAAGGCGGGCCGCCGCTGATAATAATCAAACTGGAGCAGCGGCAATACGTGGGCGGGGGCGTCACCGGGGCTACCGTCGTGCAATCCTGGCAGCAGATACGAGAAGCCGCCACCAACAGCTTCTCCACTGCGGGCCGAATCGTAGCTGGACGGTAAATGTGTTGCCGATTGTGTTGTTGTTTCTGTTCCTATTCCTGTTGTTGTTGTTGGTGTTGTTATCGAGCGACTGCTGCTGCTGCTGCTGCTGCTGCCGCTGCTGATGGTATTGGTGGTGCTGGCACGCCGAGCCCCCGAAATAAACGCAAGCGCCATCACGACCAGCCCGGGTCCTGGCCGCATATTGACCTCGGGTTCGGCGGTGCTAGCATGGTGCAGGCCCGCTTGAGACGCGCTTGCGACTCCAATTCAATGCGATAAATGATGGGCTCATGGCCCCATCATCATCATTAATATGTCGTGTGTCGTGTCGATTTTCGCCTGCTTCAGCTGTTTCAGCTGCCTCAGCGTCAGCTGCAACTCTCTATCCGTAACCTGGCAACTGCTCGACGGCTCGTCTCTGCGCTCTGCGGCTAGCGGCATGAATCAAAAATGCTTCCCCACTTCTAAGGGCAATGGCGTTGCCAGACTGTCAACCAAAAAGAACTCGTTTACGTTGCTTTATGTTGATCGACACATGGCAGCCAACAGAAAGGGAAAGTGAGTTTCAAAGTAAACGGGCAACAGGGGAATTTGAATGGAACGTAAACGCAAACGCAAACGTAACGCAACGTAACGTAACGAAAGTCACGACAGTGGCCGATTTAATTGAAACTGATATCGATAACACAACACATTTTAAGAATTTACACTATTTTATTTTAGATTTATTTTAAGCGATTTTTGCTTTGCTGTTGTTGGGGCCGTGGTTTTGGTTGCTGTTGTTGTTGTTGTTATTGCGACACTGCTGCACATTAACCTTGAAATTTAAATTGAAATTCGTGTGTCGTGTGTGTTTTTTCTTGTTTTGCTGCTGCTGCTGCTGCTGGTGTTGTTGTTGCTGTTGTTTTTGTTGCTGTTGTTGTTGCATTCTTTTTTGGACTTACAGCCACACGCGAAGGTCACATAGCAGCAATATTTATATGAATTTCTTATTTAATTTGATTTTATTTCTGTTGGGTTTTGGCTGGACTGTAAATGGTATTATCATTGATTAGTAATAATTTGATTAATGAGTTTTCTACATTTCGTTTTATTTTTATACGATTTGGTAGGTGGATAACAAAAGACTTTTAAGGTTGCCGCAGCGCTTTGCGCTTTTCGAAACGAAATTTTCGGTTTTGAACGCGCTCTCGCTGAACAATCTCTTTCTCTCTCTCTCTCTCTTGGTCCTTCACGCTCTCTCTCACGCTGCCGAAAACGCCAACGCAACGGTTTATGTATGGCTCGTTGCCTATCGTCGTCGTCGGCATCGTCGTCGTGCGCCCACGCTCCAAGCTCAGCTGCGCGCTCTCCTCTTTTTTCTTTTTCCTTCTTGGTTTCTTTTTTCTTCTTCTTTTTTTGTGCTGGCGAACAGCGCTCTGCATTTGATTTGCATTTGAAATGCCGTTACATGCGTTATGCGCTTCGCAGAAAAGATGAAAAAGAAGGAGCTTATAAAACGCAATTTGATGACTGAGATTTATGGCAACAACTTTGCATTTTTTTGCATTGTCTGCTGATTTGCATTTGTTCACGCGAAAAAGACACAAAAGCTAGCCATGTGTGCCTGTTTGCGTGTGTGTGTGACATAGCAGCAAGCCAATAAGCGTAAGTGTAAGAGAGAGAGAAAGTGCGAGTAGCGAATACAACGAGCACATGATGAACGCACGAAGTAAAACCGAAGCAGCCGCAGCAGCCACCGCACAAAGAAGAACGCCGAAAAAACGTTCCTAGCATACGCACATACATACACACACACCAACACGTATTGAGAGACAGCAGCAGCAGCAGCACACGCACAGGCCAAAGAAATTTATATAATTCGCAGCGGCCGTCGCTGCTGCTGCTGTTTATTGTTGTTCTTGTTGTTATTGCTGCAAACACAAAACAGCGGCCGAGGCACTCGTGGGTGGTAAGCAGCAGCAGAAGCGCTTTATATGTGTAAACGTAAGTGTGGGTGTGTGTGTGTATGTGTGCCTGTGTCTGTGTGTGAGTAGTTACTTAGGGCAGCCAGGCAAGCACTCGGCGTGCCTTTTGTAGCAGCATGAAGTAGTCGCCGTCTTCTTTGTCAATGTACGTGTTAGTGTTGGTGGTAAACGTAAGTACGTACGTGTACGTATATGAATGTCGATGTGTGTGTGTCAAAGACGACAGCGACTGCGGCGCCTGCATGTGGATTTTGCTTGTATGTCAAAGTATTGGTGTTAGCTGCTGCTGCTGCTGCTGATTGTCCAACAATAAACGCTGCAAACAGGCAGAACGTTCCTTTTGTTTAGCGCACGAATAAATTGTTGTACTTTTTTAATGCATGTATTCAATGCTTTTTTCTAGTCACAAAAGACGCTGCGCTTTTCCAAAAAAAACCTTTCTTTTTCATATATTTCGCATAATAATAATAATTATAAGTAGAAAGTCATTTGAATGGGTGCTCTGGTCACACTGTGCGTGTGTATTTGTTAACTTTCACTTTTGTTTTATTTGCTGCTGCGTTGACACTGCGCACACATACACACACTCGCACACACACACATGCATATGTATGTATAGGTATTTTCTCATTTTTTTGTGCGTTTGTGCGTATGTGTGTGTGTGTGTGCTACTTCGGGTTTCTGCTGATTCTGTATGGCGGCTGCTTATATAAGCCCGGAACATGGCACAAAAAACTATTCGCAACGAACTTTTCGTTGTACGTTTTTCCTGCAATTTGCCACAGCGTTTTTGTTTATGCAACGTGGTCACACTTTGTGGGCATGAGACAGGCTGGTGGAGGAAAGGAGGGGGCGTGCCCACAGAGGCAGGCAATGATTTTCACATATTATATAACATTGGCGATAAAAATTCGAAGGTTTCATTGAATGTGGCGGCCAGCCGATTGATTCTGTTTGTTAGTCTTACAACAATCGCACTATCGATCGCGATCTATCGTAACGTAAAACATAAAGCGCGTACGTTACATCGCAAACTAACATAACAAATGTCCAAATATGCCCGTGCTCTCATAATTACAATGTATGTGCGTGTTTGTGTGTGTCAGTGTGTTTGAGTGTGTGGGTATTTCTTCCAAGAGCGCAGCATCAACTGCCGTAACGGCCGCGTGGGCGGAGCTGAGGAGGCTGCTTGCTTTGCTGTTTTTTTTTTTTTTTGTAAAGGGGTGGGGGGTAAGGTTAGGCGCTTCGAGAGTTATGCCAAGCTAAATTTATTAGTTGAACACCATTAAGAAGTGGCGAATTCTTCATTTGATTTATGCTTAAACAAAAACGATAACAATAACGTTAGCGATAACGATAACTCGATTGGCGTTTGGCTCGTTTTTCGATTCGCAACTTTTCACAATTTCTTTGCCGTTAATTTGATTATTTGTTATTATTATTTGTAATTCTTTTATTATTTTGCATTTACATTACAACATTATTTTTGCTTTTTCTTTTTATTTTTTTTTTTTTGGGTTCTTTGCTGCTTGCTTTTGTGTGTGGACAAACAGTTGCGCGACGATGCAGGATATACCGTTACAATCCTGCTTCTTGCTGATGGCCCCAAACGGCACTGACTGTGCCACAAATTGCAGATGGCGCTTAACTGGAATATGCCAATGGCCCGAGCTGCCCAAAGGGGGCAAAATACGAACTGAATTCTTGCGCTCAGCGCTGACAAAAAGAAACGAAGGCGAGAGCGCTCTCACTGACAGCCGCTCTCACGCTCTCACGCTCTCTTGCTCTTTCGGTTACACTCTCTCGGTAGTTCGAATGAAAAGCTTCCAGCGCTGTTAAGTTAACAGTCGCTGCTTAACAGCTGTGTGTGCGTGTGCGTGTGCTCTGCGATGCTCTGTTGAGCTGAAGCAAGAAAAATTACTTGCTGCAGGGCACTTAATCACTAATGACAGCGACGCCACAGTCGGCGTTCGCTGCGAACGTCGACTGCAACGGCGACGGCGACGGCGACTGCAGCAGCGGTGCCTGAACCTCAACTCTCACTCAAAATGCGTCTCACCCACTTGACTCGAATTGAATCAACTCGACACTCGACTCGGATTACGTCCTTTTCGCTATGACTTGGGCATTGCTGGTGCTGCCACAGCTGCTGCTGCTTGTTTCGTTACGGCGTTTTGTCTCACTTGGCCTAAATGTCTAATACCCTATAATATCGTTTAATCCCACTCAACGTGCTTTAGTTTTGCTCTGCTTACAGCTATACAAGGCGCATCGCATTGCAGTTGACAGTTCCAAATGAACCCAGTCGTGCGAGTGCGAGGCTACCGCACTGACATCGTGAGGCTGTGTGTGTGAGGGAGAGAGAACGCTTCAATTGCAATTGCAAATTCTGTAGCATAACTTTGAGCGCAAGTTCGACCTGTCAATGTTGCTAATAACAAACTAACAGCATACTAGCCTCAACAAATAAAACCGAAAAAGAGCGACAAGCCAAGGCCAAGCGACCTTCAATGGCGGAAGAAGAAGAAGACAAGAGTGATGCCAAAAATATTCTGCCACCTGAATTATTTACCTTTGTGTTAATTAACTTAAGTAACTGTGACACACAAATCAAAAGTGGGAGGAAAACCCGGGGATAGGGAATGAAAGTTACACGTCTTATATGTTAAGTACATATTTTGATCATCTGAGAGGGTAGGCTGAAAAGTTGCTGACAGAAAAATAAAAAATAATAATAAGAACAATATATAAATATATATATAAATAATAAACTAGAAATTTAAAACAAATTCTATAAAATAGTAATTATTTTACTTTACATGTTCATTTGCATTTAAATAAAAATGAATTGAAAATATTTTGTAATTAGTACTAAAAAATACAGCAAGAGTGCCTCAACTCAAATTGAATAAAATTCTTAAAAATTACAATTTGCTTTAATTTCAAGCAGGTTTTGTTTTTATGTTAAACACTGATTAGAATTCAACGTTGGGATTTACACAGATTTTGCTTTCCTAGTGGATTTTCGGCTACCCTTCACCACAGCCCCCTACCCCTGACCCACTCCCGACCACGCCCTCTGCAGATAAGCCTAACGGAACAGTAAAAATAAAAGTAAAAGTAAACGAGGCGACAGACAAAAGAATCCTAAAAAAAAGAACTTAAAACAGCGACAGGAAGTAAAAAAAGAAAAGGGACAACCGAGAAGAGAAGAAGTAGAAGAAGAAGCAGAAAATGAAGCGAATCCCACATAATTTGGCTTGGAAAGCATTTTGCTTCAATTTATGCGCATTCCAATCAATAACTGTGACACATGCAACCAGGACCAAGCAAGGACATCAAGGAGAGTGAAAGTGCTAAGATATGCCCCATGGCACATACACACACGCACACAGGATGCCCCTAAAGGATGCCAAAGGATGAGCAGCTTTTGCCCAGCATCTAAGCAGACACAGACACACACACACACACATAGATAGAAGAGCAGGGGCACAGGCAGAGGCAGAGACAGTGGCAGCAGCAACGGCGGTGGCAGAGGCAGAGCAAAGGAATGGATATGAATGTGTCAAACTTATGCGGGCACACACATACAGACACACACACACACTCAAACACACAACTGTGTGTGCGTGCAGAAATTGATAAGAAACAAAATAACCCTGAAGAAATTGTGCAAAGAGCGGCAAGCCAAGCAAATAAGAGAAAGAGAGAATCTACGTGTGTGTGTGTGTGCGTGTGTGGGTGAGAGAAAATAGAAAACAAAACCAAAAATGCCAGCACAAATAACAATACAACAGCAACAAAGACAATTCCAAGAAATTCTATTAGCAGCGCGTGCTTATTTGTGTCTGTGTGGGTGCGCGTGTGTGCGCTCGCTTAAGCCGTGTATGCAGATCATAAGCTCTGCAAAGCTTGTGCAAAAGTCAGCAAATCTGGGGCCTGCAGCTAGTCAATGTTAATCGATATCGATACATGGGCAAATGCCATCACTTGGTATTTAAATATAATTCAGGAAAATTGTGCGATTTACTAGCAATTTTTATAGCTTGCATTTAAATAGATACTCGATATAGATAGTTATGAAAATGACACCGCATGGTATTTATACCAAGTGTTGGCAAATTGTGTGCTTTATATGCACAGCTATTGAGTAATTAATCGACATCGATGTACATGCAAATAAAATGCAGACAATTTGTGCGCTTTGTTGGCAGTGATCGCCATACAGTGCCGTAAGCGAAAGCTATTTAAATCCTACATTTGACAGTAGTTGGCAATCGGTTATCGTAATCGTAATCGAAATCAATGTCTACCTTGGCATACATACACCGTGCACAGACATGGCAGATAAGCGTTACAAGGACGCCGCCGCTGCTGCTGCCGCCGCCGCCGCCGCCGCAGCAACAGCAGCCTCTGCTACGTAGCAGCGCAGCCAAAGCAAGCGGCAAGGATTTTGCGCAGTTTTGCTGATAGCCAAGTGGCAGACGGTCGGGCAGGCAGGCAAGCGATTTCTGCTCTTTTTGCACGCACACACAACAACAATAAAAAGCAAAAAAAAAAATAGAAGAAGAGGATACAGGCAAAGGCAACGCAAGTTTTGTGAATGAAATTTCGCGCAGGCACAAAGCGCACAAACAACGTTTAGCTGGCACACAGACACACGCACACGCACACAGACAGACAGTTGCTCCCACTCTCACTCACTCGCACTCGCACTCGCACACTGTGTGGAAAGTCACGCGGCTAGCGTATGCACAAATGCGAAGCACATAGACAAAAGGGAATGGCCGAAGGGGCAACACGGCA